GGCGAGAGCAGTAAGATTTCTCTCTCTACACAACTGCCATAGCTCTTCCGCGACCTGGTCCAGACGTGGAAACCAGAAGCTCCCCATTCTATTGATGTAGGATATAGTTGTCGCATTATCGATGACAGCGTATCAAGTTGGGAGCAAAACATTTACAACAGAAGAAAACTGCAAGTAGTTCTAGCTCGAAAAATTATACAACTAAAATATGGATAATTCAATACCACTGACCTCATATGCCAGTTTCTTTGAGCATCAGCCGAGGTTATGTTAGTTGTAGCGTTAAAATTTCCTTGAGAATTTTACATGGCAAGAAATTTCACTCGTTAGTGTATAGTCGGCTGAAGCGAAATGACAGACAAGCTGACACCAAGATACCGATGCTCACCGCAAAGTTTCGGACTTTGTCTTGGTTGCTGTCCATTATTGCTCTTACTAGATTTAGTAATGTCAGCCTCGTTAGCTCAAGTAAAGATACTTTCTTTCTGTCACAATTTAACACTGGTCCTAAGAGTACCCAATTCTGACTGGAGGTCTCAAGCAGCTCTTTTTTATAATTGATTAAAAAAGGAGATGTTAACTGTTGCCCGGATATTATTCAGGCAATCTCCATCAGTATAATCGAACAGAAGGGAATACAGACAGAAACATTTCTTATTCCTTAAGGTATGCCAAAAATGGTTTTATTAATTTTGTGAACACATGAGGGGGAACAATTTACCCTAAACGGTACAGCATTGTATTGGAAGAGCTGTCCCTTGAATATGAATCTGAAATATATTCTATGACTCTCCCTAATGGGTACCAAAATTTCTGAATATCCCAAATCCAGATTCGTTAAGACAGTATCTCTACGGAGAAGTATGGTCCCAGTGTAATAGCCTTCTAACCTAAGTGTTCTATACCTATAAACAGGCAAAGTGTCCTGAGGTAAGGAATCAAACGTGTTGACCCATCAGAAAAAGTTGGATAGGTGCTGATTTTTAGTTAGCTCAACTTTTTTACTGAAAGCACCGCAGCTAAGCAATTGAGATACTGTCGAAGGTCGGTGGTTCTTGGATCCAACTCAGGACTTTAGCGCCACTCCGTGCCATTGATGATAAATACGCGTCAATCTCTTTGTTGATCTACGTACCTTATCTGCAATAATCGGTGATGGTTGATGTTGTCAGTACGTTGTCCGGCCTTTTGGCTGCTCATATTTACAGAATTGTTTTACTTGATCAGACCTACACAGAAGAGCAAGTTATCAATGGAAGCATCTGTCAGAGTACTCCTGAGTTCTTTGCTTTTTTGAACCTAGAGGAGAGAGTATTGCCACTTGCAGTTAACGTACAACTCACATGTTGCTGTACACAGTCCAAGCACGCATACCTGCGTGCGACAATTTCTATTATGGCTTGCGTTACCTCAAGGTTCACCTTAGGCGGCTGGAATAGAACAGAATTCATCCATCTATCGTCATCAACAAGACCTGCCCTCGAAATGTCAGCCTCGGAACAATACGCGAACATTAATTGTACTAAGGTCGTCGCATCATCGTGGTGATACGTCATCTACTGAAACAGAATACATGGCCTTTAGGACATCACAATCCAGAGCGCCCTGCTGTTCGAAGCCACCTATGCAAAATGTAACGCTAATCGGGCATATGGTACCTAATCTCCATTATTACTGAAAATTAGTTTGGTGGTTTCCTAACCGGTCATGTTCATACGTACAGTCCTGCTCTATGGAATTTGATGTCACAAGCAAAATGTAACGCTGGTCTACCATAGATGTACCTAAGTTCTATGTGTTATTAATGAAAAGCGGTACTACGGCGTTTTTGTAACCTGTCATGTGCAAATTATTGACCTTTTCGATGGCTATCTCAAGCCATATGGAACGTCTGTCTATTATAAATGAAAAATGCTTTATTGCTACATTGCTATCATAAACCAGATTAAATATGCTATCACAATCAAAATTTAACGCTAGTCTCGCATAGATGAAACCTAATCTCTATCTGTTATTAACGAAGAATGGTACTTTAGCGGTTTTCTAAACTGTCATGTGCATTCTGACATTCATGTTCCACGGTTATCACAAACCAGATGGAATTTGCTATCACAGGCAAAATGTAACGCTAACCTCGCATAAGGTGCCTATTCTCTATCTGGTAATAATGCACATCTATCGGCCAACCTTCTGCCCTGTTGTCTAATTCTAAGTATGTTCAGCGATTCCTCGACACTGCTGACAACACAAAAATCGGTGCGCGAACCCGATTGACATGTAAACCGTTTGGCACGAGAACAAGGAATGAGTGTTTATAGGCGGCCAGAGAAGAGGAAGGTAGGGGGTCGCGTTACCGCTCTTCTTCGCTGCGTGCGCGCTTTGAGCTCGTGGGTTTGGTAAGCTACGAGGGTACTACAAGTAGTATTTACTGCAACGAGACCGGAACATAATGGCTTATATACAATATACCAGGCGTTTCAAATTCGACCGTCACAACAGGGATCTCGGAAACGGTAAGAAATATGAAGTCGCTTAAATGGAGGCAAAGTTACATATTTAGGTAAGTAACAAAATGCAGCTTAGAAAGTGTCTCAATCCAACGTGCTTCCGGAGAGAAAAAGCCCAATTTTCCTGAAATCGTATTAATTTTTCCTGACTTTTTTGTAGCGGGATTTGAAAATAAATTGCATATTGCATATTTTTCTCCTTTACAAGATTTTTGCTCAGGTGAATAAAGTTTATAATACTGACTAGACAAACCTTAGTTATTTAAAAAAAGACAGAATTTCCTAGTAAATTTGTTCTTACTTCATCTCAACTTTCTATAATAGAGACCTCAGAGACGACAGAAGTTAGTACTTATTCCATGTTCCGGGTTCTTAGTCTCAACCTTCTGATTTTGGGATGAAATAAATAGTGTATGAAGGTGCGTCTTACCATTGATGAACGCATATTATACGCTACCGGAATATAGCCAAACTAATGTATAGTATTTCAACTATAAGAATTTGTCATAGCTATGTATATTTCTCTTCTTCGCCACAATTAGGAATCTACTTTGAAAGTCCCTGAGATGGCATTGTAAGCAACTATATGAGCATACATAAAATTAGTAATTCAGTAAATATTGATTTTATTCCCCTATCTACGATTGTATACTATGTGGTAAAGGATACAGAGTTACCAGTAGAAGAACCACTCCAACGATAATACACGTTCTGCCAAGGTGGCTGAGATGATACCTCTGGTGGCTGAAATGCTTCCTGCCAATGCATATTCATTTAAATGGGCCTTTTTTTAATGAGATTATGCGAAAAAACAATCCAAACATTTTTCTAAGCAGATGCGAAGATACTTCCTGTATTCTAACTATCCAGGTAGTCGACCGCCGATATCCAATTTGAAGTGGCAAGGCTGTTGGATGTGTACAGGGCGATTCATTGTGACAAGTTGATGCAGCGCGTCTGGATCCAAAATAAAGGAGTTAAATGGCGTTCCGATGATTTTAGACAAGTATTGTTATTCCAGCATATTTGGAATCCGTTCTTTCATACGGGAGAACGAGGAGATTCATCCAAAATGTATCTATAATTCATGTATGTACCAGTGCTAAAAACGCGATATAAAAAAAAATGAGATGTATAATCTTACTTCTGACTAACAAACTAACCCACGCTCAATTTGGAGGCTTGATAGTGCCTTTTCGAAGCTTCGTTGAATATTTTACGGAGTTGGAGAAAACATTTACAAAGAATTTGGTTGAGCTTGCTTGTGTAGACAACGTAAAAAAAAGACTTAATATTGAAGTCTTGGGAGTCATTTTCATTCACCCTTGTGAACAGTTTTCTGCTGATCATTTTCGTCCACTTTATACACAAGTTCTCATTTATTTTCAATTCAAGTATGTTCACCGGGATATAGGTCTCCTAGGGCAAAAAAAACGAATAATAAATTGAGAACATTAGCTAATCTATAGTTTCATCAAAATATGACAGAATAAACTGCCATCTGTTAGCAGAATCGACCACTGCGAAAGTGAAAACAATTTGCGGTGGTCGATTTTGGTAACAGATGGCACTTTGTGCTGTCTTATTTGGATAAACCCCATACTATGGATAGAGGATAGTTGCTCAGCTTTCGATTATTGTCCTACCTAAGACCAAGACTGCACCTGAGAGTTGCCAAATAGCACGAAACATTTTGGCCGTTTGAGGTCGGACAGACAAAACCTACACCTATTACTAGTTTGATGCTGCAGTGACATTCATACCATATCCATAATAGCTTATAGAAGTCTCATGTCTTTCACGATATTTTCTATTCTTTTGGTTTTTCACCTAACTACAGATAAGAAAATTCAAAAAACGTTTGTTTTTTTACTCAACTCTTACATCCAATTTCAAACTTGTCAGCGTTCAGTATATTCCAATCGGTTACTGAGGTGACGTACTGACAAAGAAGACAGTAGCGAAACATCGCTAGTCAGTGAAGAGGAGGCTAAAGATCAAAGGCTCTTTTGCGAGTGCCCTTTAAACTGGTAACTCTGTATTATTTGCTTTGAGGTAACTAAGATTGTAAAGACACGTCACTCATTTCAATCCTCCGTCCATTAGACATTTTTAGTTGTCATAAAATATTTTTGAGAGCATGTGCCATTCATAAAAAACTATGACTGTGTTGTTTCCGGTGTCCATCCATGTTTGGCAGTCGAAAAATAAAAAAAACTCCGTAATAAAAAGAAATATTATTCGTGCATGTTTTTCAAATTTTCGAATAGAATGTGGTTATGAGTTTTCTTCGAAAAAAAATGTATAATAAGCGTAGTAAAAAATATAACCCCCTATTAATCACCTTTAGCGATTTACGTCTAGAAGACCCTAAAAATCACTATTTTCAATGATGTTATGAATATCATTTTTGAAGTTGTCAATTGTTCAAGTTGAAGGTCAAATCTTCCTTACAAAACCATGAAGATAGTAAGTATGTTAACTAAAACTCACCTAGAATAGCCACAACCATATCATTCTGCACCACTTCCATGGACCCGTTGCAGATGTAGTAGATGTAACTCAGTGCGTCACCTCTGTGGATGAGGTACTCGCCAGGGGCGCAAAAGTTTGTTCTAATGTGGAGCGAGAGTAGCTTCAGGCACCCCTGAGAAGCTGCTTCAAAAATAGGCAGCTGCAAGATCTCGCGATGGAGGTGCATGGATACGTCACCTCTGAGCTCTTCGGGGAACTCTTTTAAAGTCTGGAAGATGGAAGACTAAAGTCTATTTATCCATGAAAGACATTAATTCAATGTAGTTCAATATAATCGACTTTATGGAAAAAAATACATAGTTACAAATGAAGAAGTCCGATCAATGGCGATTCATACTTAACTATGTAGTAACCTTATTACTATCTTAACCTAAAACTCAGTATAAAGGAAAATAATCAGTAATAGAAAAAACATAATCCAAAAGTATTGTCTATTCAGCCTTTGTACCAATCGTACGCATCAGGAAGCGTCATCAGATGAACATATAATTTAAACTGGAGAGAGAGAGAGAGAGAGAAAAATAATAATGCAATTAAGCATTTAATAAACATACCTTATTGGTTTTTTTTTTGGAAAAGTTGCCTATAAAGTGTTGGTCAAAAGAATTAATTGTACATAAAATAGCATTCAAATATGGCTGTCCTGTATTGTGGCAATGTGAGGAGATGGTTGTTGCGCGAATTCAAATTGTGAATTAAATTCCTATAAACAAGATTTTGCCCACACTAAGACAGAACAAACGTTTTTAATATTTAGATGACAAATGTGGAAATGTTATATTTGAACACATTGGATATTTTTAACCAATTCATGAAAGCTATCGAGTGAAAAACGTGATCGTATCTCCTTAAATTGTTTGTATAGCGGAAACATGTAGTTTGAATCTTTTGCAGCCTGTATTTTCTTATTTCGCCCAGACAGGGATATTAAACAAAGTAGCAGTAAGTTACTCTACTCAATATCAAAGACTCACGTATTTTCCTAACTTTTCTATTTAATATAGATTCATTTGCATTAAGAAGTCTTAGTCTGAGATTACTAGATCTAGACACTTGGCGAATATGCTCCTGATGGAACTTGACATCTCCAATAACCAAATACAAACCTAAATTCTTTGCGTAATGGGAAAGTGTAAGTAAGGTATAACTGATATATACTAAGTGACATATAAATCCGAACACCCAGTTTAAATGGTTTTATTTTAATAAAAGTTGATGAATGTATTTATCTTACTGTAAATAACGAGTGAAAAAATTTTCAGCTTTATCAGTTGGACATTCCGGTTTTTATACTGCTTTTTTTAATTCACTAACGCTCTAAAAATGAATATTTCAGCCGCAGTAAAGAATCAACGTTGGCGGATTTTGGTTCTTGACATCCTTTACGATCGGTTACGATGCCTAGAGTACGGAGACCTGTACGATTTCGTCAACTTAGTGAGTTTGATAGGGGCCGTATAGTGGGACTTCGGGAAGCTGGACTTTCTTTTCGGGCAATTGCAGTTAGAGTGCAAAGAAGTGTAGACACTGTGGTTAGGTGTTGTCAGGCATGGCTTCGAGAAGGCCGTACGCAAAGAGCAAGGGGCACTGGACGCCGCCGTAGAACAACAGACCGTGAAGATCGCCGCCTAAGATTATTGGCCTTAAGGGACCGTTTCTCCACTACCAGGTCCATTGCAAATGAATGGTTTGCAGAACACGGAAGACCTATTGGCATGCGAAGTGTTTACCGACGAATGAGAAGTTTTGGCTTGTTTTCATACCGGCCACACTGGGTCCTCCCTTTAACTCGAGAACACCGACGTAATCGCCTTGAGTGGTGCAGACAACGGTCACTCTGGGATCATGAATGGAACAGTATTGTCTTTAGTGACGAGTCTCGATTTTGTTTAGGCATGCACGATGGTCGTGCCAGGGTTAGAAGGCGACGTGGTGAAAGGAGGAATCCACAGTTTTTTATTGAAAGACATGTTCATCACACTGTTGAAGTTATGGTTTGGGGTGCTATAGCTTATGGTTCCAGGTTACCTTTAATCTTCATCAGAGGTAACATGAACGCGCAGCGTTTATCCACGAAGTTCTAGAACCCCATCTTTTACCCTATCTTGACACCCTGGCAGATCCAACTTTCCAACAAGATAATGCCCGAACACATGTTGCAAGAGTCACAATAGACTTGTTAGTATATTTAATTTTGATTTGAGGAAAGCACGCTTTTCCTTGGAGTAAAAAAATAAAATTGTCGATTTGGATGCATTAACTCGTAAATTGTCTTTTGTGGCGTATGTACAATTGTACATATACACTGTAGATCTAGATTATCAGGGTCGTTAGCCATGTGGTAGTTGTTAGCGATATCAAAAGTGTATATTAGGAACAGAAGAGGCCTTAATACGGATTCCTGAGGCACGCTGAAGCAAATAGGCATTTTCTGGAAGTTTATTTTGTATCACGACAAAATGATGTTCATTTGAATAACAATCGGTCCATTTCAGAGCTGAAACGTCAACTCCACTGTATTTACATTTAGAAATCAAAAGCTTATGATTCAGAGTGTCATAAGCTTTACTAAAGTCTAGTAAGATTAAACCAAAACAATATCCAGGGCCTGTATCAAACGTTGATATACCTTGCAAATCATTTACGGTTGAAGGCGGCTAAGTTTCAGTGTATACGAGAGATAAGCGTGCAACATGATACTATAACTCGAGAAGGTATGATCACTTCGCGATCTAATTTCAGACCCCTCCGTTTATGACGTCCTTCGGTGACAAATGTTCTACTTGGTATGAAATGCATTGTATTAAAGCGTTTCTTTCCAATATTTGGAATACTAGCCTAACATTTTTTTGTGTTATTGATTTTACATTGATATTTCAGTATTATATATGATGTTTAATTTATATTTTGATGTTTTGCCAATACAATTTGATTATAGACAGAATTCATTGCCATCATAAAATTATCACTTTTCAAAAATTAATTATAGTATTATAAATTATTCAATGGCAAGTAGACCACATCTACCTTACAGCCAGAATCATCAGCCATCTAGCGGTGACGTGGCGACTGGGCTATTAAACATGAATTAAGATCTCTATCAGTTCCAAATAATAGCAGTCATGCGCTCTCCGCAGTGGTCGATTCTTGTGTGATAGATGGTGCTTTGCGCGTCTTATTTCGAGTATTTTGAATACCTTCCCGAATATTTCTTTTCAGCTGCATAATCAAAAATGAATATAAATAAATAGATCCACTTCGTTTCATTTTAGAGATACTGGATAAAAAAATTAGTCAATTATACGAGTATATTATATCTTCTGCAGGAACTTTTCCAACATTTGAACTACCATGAGTTAGATCACATGAATAAGGCGAGAGTAATACAAATTACCGAAACCTAAATGGCATCATCTTCCAGAGAAGGAAAATCTTTTACGTATAGCCTCCCGGTGTACATTAAGACATAAGGTATTTCTCATCTTCCATTATGCCCTCCTCTACATCCTTTTGTTCCTTATTTGCGTTTTGCAGATTTATTCTCGCTCAAGGCAGATACAAAAAATGTTTACCCGGATTTGCTGCGAGTCGGTAAGGCTGGGAAATCCAAATATCCATCTTTTTCGCGTCATATCACAATTTTTTATTCGCTGTTGCTGAATACTGCTCAAGCTTTACAGAAATGTTCATTAATTTATACTCGTAGATTTCAATATGGCAATGATATATACCTATATCATTTATTTGAAGAAAGAAACCCATTTTACAGTCAGAAATTGCTTGCACGAAATGGTCTTGCGGAGGGTACAACGGTTTTAAAATATCCCGCAGAAAGCATATGAGGAATGGCTTTCGGATACTTTTTTTCATAATTTAGTATTTTGTAGATCTCAACACGTAGAACAAAAGTGTCCATAGTCCACATTTTTTTCACGACAGGTTTTCGAGATCCACGTCCTCCAGGATGAGCAGTCTGTACACTGATACATCGTATTGTGGGCTTTGTACACGATATGTAATACTCACATACTTTACCTCAAGATAGCAACCTAATGCAATATCTCCACGTCCAAAAATTAGAGATAGACGTAGAATGAGATTCCGTAAGCGTCATCTATGAGAGTGTGACGCAGCTGTTTCCCTAATTACTGTATTTGCTTTGAAAATGTTAGTGCATTATAAATGGATTTGTTAATATGGGCATTCACCGGCTGAGTCAATAATCGTATCTCGGCAACCCCTCAACCCAGAGCTATCGGTTAAAAAATTTTATAATAAAAGTGGGCAAAAGAAATTGCTGAAAATTACTCTCAGCATCCTAACATGGCCTCGAGGCGGCGCTATTCCAATTTAAAAAAATCAAACCACTTTATAGTAAAAAAAAACTTTGAATCATCCACAAAGCGACATCTAGCGGCCACAAACTGAACTGGTCTGACAGGATTGAGCATTCATTAGGAGCGCAGGTGAATACTCTTCCAAACGAAACCAAGATCATCAAAATCGGTGCAGCAAAGTTATGACTTTTTCTCTGAAATGACATTTAATCCCGAACTAATCAAAATATGAAAAAATGATATAAACAAAAAGTCCGGAAATTGAGCGGTCAACATGATCATTTTTGCAAAATAATGGTGTTTGGATATTTGAAGTTAGAATGACGCAACGTAGCAGCCACTTTAGGATGCTGAAAATAATTACCAGCAATTTCTGTTGGTCGCTTTTGTTATAAAAATTTTTTGACGCGGGAAAATAGCTTTAGGTTGGCTATCTTTAGGTGGCACACGTTAATAAATAGTAATAGTCGTTTGATATTTGTTTACGTTTGCATTATCATTCCTACTGGATGGTTCACAAACCATCCAGTTCTACCACATGTACAGGATCATCATGCAGTAACTCACTGGAAATACATTTCAGAAACATCAAGGATTCTCTTAGGGTTCATGACTAAGGAATTTTCTCTTATTTGCTCTAGAGAGAAATATGCTCATTTAGCTTTGAATCACTCTGTATAGTTCTGACCGCAGCTGCGTGTTTACTTAGATTTTCTTAAGTCATCAGGGGCTCTTATCTTTATCTTCTTTTTCATATACGTTCGCATTTGCGTTCGTGAATCAAGTTCACTTCGACAACTCCGCATTCACAAAAAAATTCAGGGAGTCATCGCACTTCCATTCCTTCGACTCTGTAATTTCTGTCTTATCTTCACACTCAGGCGAACTTTTTTCCTTATCGACTTCTTGCAAAAGAGATTCTTTCATGAGAGCATTTATGAATATACGACTGTAGTACTTACTTGTATATTCCTAATTCTAAATAAAGCTAAGAAAAATGGGGACGAGTTGGTTGACTCCGGACTTTCTACTCAGCGCTGTCATCAGTTCAAAAATGACACAAATTAGCCGATTGGAAAAAATGTTAGCTACGAATATGTGTAACAAAAAAATGAAATAGATCAAGTCAGTCAATCAGGCCTATACAATTAGTCCTTAGTGCCTACCTGTTTGACACGCTGCGGTCTCGAAATTTATTTCCTATCCTGCCGGCAATACCGATCATCTGGTAACAATATTACGACAAGACTTAGATATGTATCAGTCATCGAAGCAGGTGTATCAACGTTAGACGCGTTGTATGCGACGCGTGTATTTTCTTTGGCCTACATTTTTGGTTAGGATATCGAGATAAGGTTTTCGCGAGCTTGTTTAGACATCGCTTAGCTACTTTTTCATAAAAGAATCAAAGCAATGCATTTAATTTTTTGAGAAAATTAACCATTTCTGTTGAAATGTCGTAAAAGCCTTCTAGCGGCCACATGTGAAACTAACAAAACTTCAAATATTATGACATTTTTAGCCCATGAATAGCTATTTTCAACTAGCCCAAGTTTGTTAAAATCGGCTCAGCCGTTTAGATACAGAAGATACAGGGTGTTTTTATGGAAACCTTTGAATACCCCCCACCACTTTATTTTTAAAGATATAGGGAAAATTGTTAAACAGGAAAAGTTCACATTATCCTTGACTTGAAAGATCAGTTTTTTTGTTAGGTTAAAATAGCGGAATTCACAGAAACATCACTTTTTAGATTCAAGATGGCAGTTACGCTCCCTGGAGGCCATTTCAGAAACTTATTAAAATATTTTCCAGGTTTTCCTCTTGGCTGTTTTAGTACAAACTGTTTATGCCGCAAGCCTCTACGATGGATATATAGTACCTCGCATTCTTAGTTAGCCACCAGGTACTGAGTTTTTCTTATTATTTTTCTATATTTAAGCACAATATAAATGTATGGTTAAATCCCTTTAATTTATTTTCTGAATGCTCTATTATCTATCAAAATAAAAAAGACACTTTCTTAGGGTTATGACTAAGAGGGTTGTACAGGATGTCCCAACGAAAATGAAGAGTAGTTTTTTGGACAAACTGGAAAATATATCAGATGTGATTTCGTGGCAACCTTGACGTGTCAGTAGTGCATATTTCATAATTATATCAATATATACAGGGTGTTCCATAACTTCGTGCCGTAGTTTTATACATGTTTTAAATAGAGCATACTTTGAATAGAGCTGCTACAAACAATAACATCCAATCTGAGAAAGAGCGGGGGAGTTGTGGCTTTTGTCCGCAGCAGTCTTTCCTGCTCCAGAGATGTTTCTTTGGAATCAGACCAGAAGAACATTCCGTAGCTTCGCCTCAACTCCAAAACATCCCCCAAATTTATTTGCTGGCTTTATCGCTCTTCCGCGGACCATAACTGGGCTGACCTACTTGAATACCTCGCCGTCAAGATCGACTTCCTGAACATCAATCGCCCCGCTTCAGAGATAGTTCTCTTCGGTGATTTTAATGTCCATAATGAGCTTTGGTTGGGCTCAAACAAGACGATGTAGCAGGCCGTGCTGTTGAAGCGTTCGCTCTTACTCAAGGGCTGACCCAGCTGGTGACGAGCACTACTTTTTTCCCCCGCGTCTCGTCACACGCCAGTAGCCTGCTGGATCTCTTTCCACCACGCATCCTGTCCCTTACAGCACTGCTACCCTGTCCCCCCCTGGGTAACTCAGAGCACAATGTTGTGGAGGTTAGGTTTCGGACAGCACCCGCTGTTTCAGCAAAAACTCGCACATGCCGCAAGACTTGGTATTACGGACATACCGACTGGGAGGGGCTCAGAGAATTCTTCTCTACCTTTCCTTGAAGAGATGTCTCTTTCACTGACGCGAATACGTCGGGTATCAAAATTATCCACGTCGGAATGGAGGAATACATCCCTCATACAGTGAAAGTGCCTAAGCCAGGGTCCAACGACTGGTTTAACAAATCGTGTGACACTGCTCGCCAGCAGAAGATCAAGGCACACACAACCTTCCTACAAAACCCCGCTGTAGAGAACAGACAAGCCGACGTCGAGTCCAGAAATAAATATAACGAAGCGGTTCGCAATGGCAAAAACCAGCACGATATAAAAGTTTGGCACAGAGTAATGTCGCAGCGCAATGGCAGTCGTCTTTCTGAACGCTGGCCAAGCAGATTGAAAAGAACTTCTCACACAGTACCCTGCCACCACTTACGTGTCAGGATGGAACGATTGTACCCGACTCAAAGGCCAACGCGGAAGTGCTTGCCAAGATCCTTGCTGCCAACTCCACCATGGTCGTTCCCACCAACGCCCAAGTGCCGTCAATTCAAAGGGTTCCCTACACAATGCGGTAACAAGGTAACATTCAGGCATAACACCGTAAGACGAGTGCTCTTGTCGCTCGACATCAACAAAGCTTCTGGTCCGGATTTGATCCCTGCCATTGTACTGAAGAGATGTGCAGCGGAGCTTGCTCCAGTTCTTTCGCGACTCTTCCAGATATCTTCTGTTGGAAATTTGCTCATGTCCAACCCATCCCAAAAAAAGGATCTAAGACCGATCCTTACAACTACAGGCATATACTTGTATAGCGCTGCTGTCTGTTATAAGTAAGGTGATGGAGAGGTGCATAAATCGAGAGCTTCTGGAATACCTCGAACGTCACAGCTTGATTAGCGACAGGCAGTATGGTTTCCGGCACCAGCGATCCACAGGGGACTTCCTAGCTTACGTCACGCAATTGTGGAGTAAACTCATCCAGTCTTATTGTGAGGCTCATGTCGTTGCTCTTGACATCACGAAAGCATTCGATCAGCTGTGGCACTCTGCCCTCTTAAGCAAACTTCCATCCTATGACCTCCCAGAAAAGCTTCGCAGATGGGTGGCTGACTTTATATCTGGCCGCAAGATATCCGTCGTAATTGATGGGTTCTCCTCTTCATCCCACAACGTCAACGCGGGTGTTCCTCAGGGATCGGTCTTGGCTCCGACACTGTTCCTCTTACATATCAATGACATCCTCTTCTGTAGGATCAACAGCTTTGCTGATGACAGCACTTTACATGCAGGAATTCAGAGTGACAAGCCGATCTCTGCCGCTGAGCTGGAAAAAAGAAGACTAGCGACAACTTCCTCTCTGACGAGAGACCTGGAGGTTATCACTGCTTGGGGACGCAACAATCTTGTGCAGTTTAATGCTTCCAAAACACAGTACTGTGCCTTGATGAGCAAAAAGCGTCCTAGCGCTCATCCGGTTTCGATGGATGGCCGAGTTCTGCCAAAGAGCCATTCCTTTCGGCTGGTCGGAGTCCAGATCACAGAGGACCTGATCTGGCACGAACACATCTCGTCAATAGCTGCAGTTGCTGGGAAAAAGCTAGGCTATTTGTTTAGGGCTAAGAAGAACTTTTCTACGGATGACCTTCTCACTCTATACAAGTCCCAGATAACTCCTAGCCTTGAGTGTTGCTGCCGCCCCGACTACATTATTTATGCTCGATGCTGTCCAGAGGAGGGCTGTCCGAGTGATCGATGACTTTTATCTAACAGACAGTCTCGGGACCCTTTCGCACCGGTGCGCCGTCGGCGATCTAGCTCTCTTCTATCGCTACACTAACGGGCTTTGCTCCTCAGAGCTCTCTTCCATGATGTCGCCGCGCGATGTGCCTTCCCGAGGGACCCGCCTGACTTTGGCCTCCCATCCTAACCGTGTCGAACTTCGAACATACGGAACTGGCCGATGCGACCGCTCCTTTGTCCCGAGGGTATCGAGATTGTGGAACAATCTACATGAGGTAGCTTTTCCCAGTTCTACTTAGGCAGTTCAAGAATCGGATTAATAAAATTTCTTTGGGATCATCATAGCAGCCGCGGTGCCTCGGCATTTAAGCTTATGCTTGCGCGGCTACTTCTGTATAAAAAAACATATGGTTTCGATTTTCAATTATTTAGATATTTGGTCAAATATCTGGAAAACTGTCCAGCTTGCTTATGTTTATGCTTATGACTAGTAATGTTGTATAAATAGGTCAGGACATTTTAACTGCCAAGTCCTTGACCCGATGAAATTTAATACTGAGATTACAAAGTACTTCGTATGCGATACGGCACTCCTTCTAAATCTCAAAAGTGCTAGGAAAGAATAAAATATAATCGGCCCTTAATGTCCACCTGGTAGCCGATTTATTACCAAGCGATACAAAAAAGCTAATGGAATAACGATTTCTGTTTCGTTCGTTAACTTTTTCTCCGATCAAATTGCTAAGACGTGCCTCATGGAGTTGAATAGAAATATTCTATTCCCAAAGCTTGGACAAGGGTCTCAAAAAGTTAGTTAGTCCATCAAAGTATTACGCGATCTGTCAGAGGTCAGGAAAAAATTGAGCTTCTATCGTGCAACTCTGTCTTGAAACTAATAGCTCTATCTGTAGGCGACCACTAAAACTAGTCTAGAACCTCCAGAAGAAACTCTCGAACTTTCTGAAAAGATCAAGAACAGGCCACGCAAGTATAAATTCAGATGCTGTTAAGGAGTAATAAATTAGTATTGTTATATTACACTCACCTCTTGTATGTCGATCCCGTGGTTGAGCGACCACGTTGTCTGAAAGTAATCTTGCATCCTTTGCTTCAATTCTTTTGGGATCTGATGAAGGGTGAAAAAGTCTTTGAGGTCCCTCCATTTGGTGTGGTACAGCGACCTCCTGGAGTACATCCGCTGAATGATGGCTGTCACGTTACCGAAGACTACAGCATGCATCAAGGCTGAAATAAAAAATATCTTCGTAGTCGATACCTCCGTCACAAAACATTTCATAAACATAACCTGTCTCTTCTATGACTCTCCAAGGATCACATTTATAGCAGACTCTTAGGGATGATATTAACTTTCTCCAACTTTGCAAATTTTAAAAAATCGTAATATTTTTAAAATCATGAAATTTTGATAATTTTAAAAATAGTGATAATTTAGAAAATATTAATAATTTTGAAAATTTTGGATATCCCAAAATATTGAACACTTTGGAAATTTTTAGAATCATGAGAATTTTGAATATATTGAGAATTTTTAAAGAATTTTGAATTTTGTAAATTTTGAAAATTTTGTGAATTTTGCTAATTTCGGAAATTTTGTGAATCTCGTAAATTTTGAAAATATTGGAAATTTGGAAAGAATCAGGAGGTTTTTTTTATGGAAAGTGGCTATCGGCTAAATTTGTTTGAATTTCGCATAGGGGTAGTTTTCAACATGGCGTTCAAAAGTTCCAATAAGGCCAACCCCCTGACACCTACGGAATCCAGAAACTCACATAAGTCTTAAAGTAATATTATTAGAGAAGAACTAAATCAGACTATTGTTAAGATTTTTCTCAGACTGGCCAATAGTGACCTCGAAGGTTCTGGTCAAGGCCAGGTCAATTTTTAAATATATAATCCTACTTTTTACCAGAAAACTGGACAAAGTGGAAATCAACTTTCATGTAGTACTGAGCATTTCGAAAACGCAACATTGAAGATTTGAATATTCAGAAAATTTTGAAAACTGGTAATTTTGTAAATACATACATTTTTAAGAATCATGCGTGTTATTGAAAAACTTTAAAAAAGGCAGTTAGACCTATTACTCGTAGGCCGACAGACACCATTTATGCTATGTAAAGCTAGGTATTGTCTGTAAATTGTTTCATTTCACAAAAATCACGAGATTTACAGAGCTCTTGGAGCGTGAAGTTGGGGAAGCAGTGATTCTGATGGTGATTTAAAATTCCAGAGGCATGATAATATCGAATAAATTTTCATATCTGGTATATTTTGAAATAGGTCTCCATATATGATCATCAATTTTCAAGTGCTGGGATATCTTTTGTGGGAGCTATTCAATAATATTGACAGCCTTAAAAAGTACTTATCGTCGAAATGCATCGATTAACTTGAAACCATTGTGGAAAAATCCCCCAAGCCAACATTATGTTCCAAATTCCTCTCTTCATTGTACGAAGTTTCGCTCCCAACGGTGAGCATTTTCAACTACAATTGACACTTTTTTGACAATATATTTTATGTCTTCTAGGTAACACTTCAAAGACAAACGAAGAAGGATTTTAAACAGTGGTTTGATTCGGCTAGACAAACATAGGGGTTTATCAACATAAAAGCCACAAAAGTTTCAGATATTGAATTCAACATTTGATCGTGCTGTGTATCAATGTAGTACCTGATACTTTATGCTCCGTATACATCCCTTCACTGGACAATGCTAAATGCCAACATATATGTCCGAATTTCTAATTTGTTCAAGCATATTTTATAAGCGTCCCACTTCGAAAATGTTGAACAACTAATTTTCTGACACGCCAAAAATACATTTCAGCATCTCAATATCAAAAATTGCGTCCAACGCCTATGGTAATGCTGTTCAAACACAAAGTAGACGGGAAGTAGAATATCCACGAGACATTATGGAATTGAATAATGAGAAGCCTGTCAACCAGACTTGGAACATGTATTGAATTTTTTATCAGACAATGAGCGTATTCCGGGAGAATAACTTTCAATAGAAAATTTACCTCACCCAGAAAGTGCCATCGGTGGTGACTATGTTATATATCACAGAAAAATCCAATATTTTCCACTTCATTTTATGCTGATGAGAAAGTATGTAGTTGTCGGAGAATTTTTTTTAGCTTGTATAATGCCTTGCCGCTACGAAAGACGATCTCACCAGAAACACATAACGGAAGAACGCCAATTGTGACAAAAATGGCTCTCGTGGTGGAGGTTTTTGAGTACATAAGAAGAATTACAGAATACTTTTTTTGTAACAAACATCCAGTAAATATTTTAATTTAGTTGACCTCCGTGCGATAAAACAATGTTCCTTAAGCCTTAAGCCAGCCCTGTTAACACCGAGCTCTCGCGCCCTCTACTAGGCAGTAGGACAACTATTTCTAGCCTTGTCACCCTCACCGCATCGCAGCGTGGTCGGGTAGTCGTCCTAAGCTACAGTAGAGTGCGCGAAATCTTCCTCTTAATAGTAAAATGCTGTAATTTTAAATATTTCAAAGAATTCAATAAGCAGGTTTTGTACAGCGACAATGATACACTGTTATTTTAAATAAAATGTAATACAGGTATATGATCATTGCCACTAATTTAGTGTCCGGTCGCAAGTGTAAAGTTATGTCCATTATCAGAAAACAGTTTATTATACTATGTTATTATATATTGGGACAATCTACAACTTGACAAAGTATCATGAAGAGTCCTTTACCTATTTCACTTAAGTTAGAAATTTACTTGAATATGGTTATATTATCGGGTCTCCTTTATATGTTACATATGAGCCCTGTCGCATGAGTTGGACCAACGAAATATATTTATAGAATGTTGTATTTGAAACTAATTTTTATTTATTTAAAATAACTTGAACAAAAACAACCAAGATAATTTGATGCTAGGTGGTATTAACAACTAATCAATAATATTTGATATATATTTAAATTACAATAATAAACAAACACAAAAACATTGTTTATGATGTCTGTCGCATATTAATTGAACCATTTCATGTAATACGATAAAAAAATGCTGTCGGGGCGAAATAGGGTCTTTTTTAAAGCGGCCATGGAAAGACAATTGAATATTATAATGTTTGCCTAGAAATGTCAAGGTAACGTTTAGTTGTAAAAATGGCTGGTGGGAAAGCGTTGTCCGACAATATGCGAAATTCCATTGTTGATGCACTCAAAAATGGAGCTTTTGGGCATATAATTGCGAAAAAGCTAAGCATTTCTCAAGCAACAGTAAGACACATTATCTCACTGCTTAACAAAATGGAAGTATTGAGACAAAAATTGGAAATGGCCGTCGTTCGAAGATATGAGCGTGCTTTTCGTGCAATTATTAAAGAAGATCGCAGAGCTGCGTCGAGGGAAATAGCTGTAAAATGGTCACATGAGATTGTGAAAGGGTTTCAAAGGATACTTGTTTAAGAACGATGAAAAAAATGGGATATTCATTCTACAAAGGAAGTTGTGACTGTTGTATCAAAAACTGCTCAAGCATAGATACTTAATCTTCATTTTAGGCGAGGGACAAGTCACTTCTTTCTTTAAAAGAAAAACGAAACCGACTTCTATGGGCAAGAGAGCATACAAACTGGGTACAACATCAATGGTATTCAGTTATCTGGAGTGACGAATCCAAGTTTGAAGTATTCGTATGTTTTTTATGTTGGCGATTCACCTAGAATTATTCTCATTCGAGGAGAAGAATATCACATCAACTGTCTCAAGAAAAAGGTTAAATTTCCAGCGTCCGTAATGGTATGGGGATGCATGTCTTCACAAGGAGTGTGACGTCTTCTTTTCATTGATGGCACCGTTAATGCTGCTAAATATAAAATCATTTTACAAGAAGAATTGCTGCCATCTATTCACATGATTCAAGTACGAGAAGGTGGATTCATATTTCAGCAGGATGGTGCAGCATGCCATACAGCAAACAGCGTAGCATCCTGGTTACAGGAAATGAATATTGCTGTTCTAAAATGGCCTTCAATTAGCCCCCACTTATCTCCAATTGAAACCCTATGGCACCAAATGAAAAAAGCACTTAGAACTTCTCCAGTCCGCACCATTCCCGAATTAAAGCAGAAAATTAAGGAAATTTAGGATAATTTTGAACCAGAATACTGCAAAGCATTGGTAGATACTATGCCAAGAAGAAACGATGCTGTATCAAAACGAAAGGCGACTGCACTCAGTGGCAACTTTTCAAAAATGTTTAATCCAACTATGCGCCAGACATAAACATTTTTTGTGTTTTGTTTATTATTTTAGTTTAAAAATATAACAAATATTGTCGATTAATTGTTAATAATATATAGTTTCAAATTATCTGAGTTGTTTTACTTCAAGTTATTTTGAATAAATAAAAATTAGTTCACAAATATAACATTCTATAAATATTTTTCGTTGGCCCAACTCATACGACTGGGCGTACTAGTATATGAATCTAAAGTCGAGATAGTCCAAGCGAAGTTTTTAAAATATATGTATTCAAAAGCATATGCTGCATATCCTCCATTCACTTTGGCATGATCAGGCTTGAACACCGAATATTTTTGTTGAGCTGCTGCTTTGTGCACAAGTTGCTAAGCAATCAGATTGGCTGTGGTAAAATTTTGTCCAACTTAAACTTCACTGTACCTGAGTTGGATAGCAGGACAAGCTTTAACAAATATTTTGCTAGCATCCCCTTCATATTGAACATCGAAATACATTAACGAGATTAGCTATGTCTGTGACCTTGATATTAGTGAACAAATATATAAAATATTGTCATATTCAAAAACTATTCGGTGACATAAACCTTTATTCCCTTTTCAGTACATTTTGTATGCATATA